TATTAAAACTGACCTGCTTCCTTTTTTTTGGAGAGGTTTTCGCTATAGGGCGTGTGCGCTTGCCAGACAGGGACAGAGAGATAGAAAGCGAAAAATCACCCCCCAGGGGGGATGGCCACGCCGCAATCTCTTCTCCTCCATTCTCTTCTCGGGATCTTGGGCACTCACGCATATGCGCTGGGCGTGAGTTTAAGCCACTGGGTCCGGGACTCAAACCGCGGTCGACTACGTGGGAGTCCAGCGACATAGCCACTACGCTAACTGCTGGTCCCATGACCTGCTTCTTAATGTGAGGAAACCAAGATACATTTGCCGCTAACCCCAGCAGGTCTGACTCTACCAACGGGGAGTGGCAGAAAGTAAACCATCACTCGGTAACTGTTTCAAGCGATTTTTTGGTTTCTTTTTAAATAATTATTTTATTTATTCATTCACTTTATTTTTTATTGAACTTTATTTGTTTGCTTATTTATTTTAATTTGACCAGAGAGGGACAAAGTGAGAGAGAGAGAGAAAGTGAGAAAGCAAGCTGCCAGGTCCAGGACTCAAACTGTGGTCGGCCACATGGGAGTCTATCACCCTTAACCACCGTGCCACCTGCCGTCCCCCATTCATTTTAATTTGACCGAAGAGGGACAGACAGAGTGAGAGAGAGAGAGAGAGGGAAAGTGAGAGAGCAAGCCGCCTCGTCTGGGACTCGAACCATGTCTCTGCCATGTGGGAGTATCCAGCACCTTAATCACCACGCCACCTGCTGGCCCCTTTCAATAGATTCTTAATCTCTATTCTGTTACTGAGCAGAAAAATAGTCATGGTGGAGCAGCCATCAATCAAACCACCATTACTTTCACCAACGTGTCCTGCGTATGTTCCCTAACCATGCACAACCCACGCAAAGATCCTACACGTGTGTGTTTTATGAGGGTGCCGTGCCAGCTTCCTGACCAGATACACCGAGGTTTCCTACAACTAAAACTACGCAGAAGAGAGAATCCCGATAGAGAAAGGAACATGCATGAATTTCACAGCCCACATCCCAGAAAGACAGAACACAGGACAATACACCAAAACAAGAGGTCCGGACGCCCGAGGTACCTTTTAGCGCTGGTCGACAACTTGGCCGCCGTCTTGCTGGATATCTTGCCCTCCTTCTTCTTGGGCTGAGCCTGCTCTCTTTCTGGTTCCTCTCCCGCTGGTCTCCATCGGAACTCCCTCCGCTAGTGCTCGGACTGTCGTCAACTCTTTGGGCCTCAGTGGACATTTTAAATCCTGGATGAAAGAATCGAAAGCGTGTGGTCAGCGTGGGGAAGACGACAGAACAGCATCTCCAAAACAGAGTGTGAGCCTCCAAGTGAAACTGAACGTAAAATGGGTCAAGTGGCTTCTTTACGCAACTTTTCTTTCGTTCATTCCAAAGGTACTGGGAAACGAACACCCGGAACACACAGACACGAAACGTTCACGGCCCCGCCGTCCCTAACAGCCGAGCGGTGCAAACGGCTCAGATGTCCTGACAGATGGACGGATAAACAGCACGTGGGACACCACGTCGAGGAACGCACAGCACCTACACGCGACAGCACACGTGAGCCCCGAGTCATGACGTGCAGGGAA